CTCTCCTCGGGTCTGCATTGGTCTCAGCGCTGGTCCGCGCTGGATCTCCTCCCAAGGTCCAAAATATTTTGAGATTAATCTCAAAACATTTTGAGATTCATCTTTAAAATAATACATAATATATTTTTAAATTAAGCTCATAACATTTTGAGATTAATCTCATCATATTCTTAGATTAATCTCATAATTTTGCTAGTTCGACTTTATTATCATAATATTTCGCCTTTTAAGTCAACATTTTATAACTTTATTCTCAGTCTGGTAAAGGAAGAAAAAAGGGTGACTATTTTGCTCCGTGTAACTCTGCTTTAGGCCTGTTGCTGTTTCCTCAGCCGTCTGCACACGGCCCTGCAGTCCCTTATATGGGCATTAATGGGCGGTTACTTATGCTAAGTACCTATGCTAATGAAGCACCTGGCACGCGCGCTCTACTTACGAGGAAATGGGATTCATCAATCTGAGAGAACAGCTGCGAACAATTCAGCGGCTTACGAGTGCGTTGATGAATCCCACGTGGGGACTTCTTAGAAATCTACTTAAGGACAACTTGAGAAGAAAGTTGAGTAGTTTCTTACGAAGTTATTCGTGAATGAGGCCCATTGTTCTGTGGCTACAGGAGCAAATAATGGTGCATCTGTGCCACCTCCTTTGCACGGTGCGGCGAAGGCCGTTCGACGCCGCTTGCGGCTTCAATTTATCACTTTTTCTGTGAATAATTGTATATCTCATGCATGTTTGAAACAAATAAACAAATGACTGAAAGAACTGACATTATATTTATTTAATGCAGACTCAAAACCCATTGATTTTTGGGAATTCCAAAGTGCAGCTCAAAATCCTGCTTTTGCCTTTTCTCACTCAACAATATTCTGCACAAAACAAGCAAGGCTCATGTGAGACATACATGTCTCAGACAACACAGGAGTTATTCTTCAGTTGATTTTGGTGTTTCTAAATACAACTACAAATTACAAATCAGCCATCAGTTTAAAAAACGGTTTCATTCATTAACCTAACTTTATATTTTTTCTGTTCACAGATTCAGAGCAATAGACTGATGTTATCCTTGTCATTTTGAAGACAACAAGATTCAAGATGGCGCCTCGTACGGTCGACATGGCTCTTTGCTGCTCTCTTTTTCTTTTGTTTTTACTTTTTAACTGTGCATCTGGCTGTTCCTACACCCGTGAGGAACTTATGAACATCCGACCCACCGTTCCCATGGACCTATTGCCTGTTTTCTTGGCATCTGCGGCTGATTTAGTTCATGTTCTAGCCAAAAAAGTGTGGGCCCGTAAAAGGGGAAAGCGAGGAGGCCTGCTCGTGCGTCTTAGGAGGAGAGGAGCGCGCACGGCTCTCCCCGGCATTTTTCTCTCCAACGTACGCTCACTGGGCAATAAGATGGACGAACTCAGCCTGCTCATGAGAAGAAACAAGGACTTCGCCACATCCTGTGTCCTCTGCTTCACTGAGACCTGGCTAAATGAGCGGATCCCGGACTGCGCTCTGGAGCTGCAGGGCTTTGGGCTGTTTCGCGCGGATCGCCATTGTGCGCTCTCAGGGAAGAGCAGAGGCGGAGGGCTCTGTTTCTACGTCAATACAAACTGGTGTAACGATGTGACAGTGATCTCCAAGCACTGCTCTCCTGCTCTGGAATATCTTTTCATTCATTGTAAACCATATTACTCCCCGCGGGAAATTGTTTCATTCATTCTTGCCTCTGTTTACATACCGCCATGCGCGGACGCGCGCGAGGCTCAGCGCGCACTCGCAGAGCAAGTACTGTGTATGGAACGCTTATACCCGGACTCTCTGATTATTATCCTGGGGGATTTTAATAAGGGAAACTTGAGCCAGGAATTACCCAAATACAGACAGTTTATCAAATGCCCGACCAGAGAGGAGAACACTTTGGATCACTGTTACACCACCGTGCGCGGAGCTTTTCGCGCTGTTCCCAAGCCAGCCCTCGGCTTCTCAGATCACTCCATGATACATCTGGTTCCTGCTTACAGACAGAGACTAAAGCTCTCGAAACCTGCAGTGAGGAGCTCCAAAGTGTGGTCTGATGAAGCTGTGGAAGAGCTGCGCGCATGCATGGAATCTACAGACTGGGACCTTTTCAGAGCTGCCACAGACAGTTTGGATGAATATACGGACACTGTAACGTCATACATCCACTTCTGTGAGGATAGCATCATTCCAACAAGGACCAGGGTCATCTATAACAACGACAAACCCTGGTTCACTGCTAAACTCCGGCAGCTCAGGAAAGCAAAGGAGTCTGCTTTCAGGGAGGGGGACCGCAGCGGCTACAAAGCAGCTAAATATCAGTTCAGGAAAGAACTGAAAGCAGCCAAGTCCCGGCACAGAGAACGACTACAGGAGCAGTTTGGTAACAACGATACTGCTTCTGTCTGGAGGGGCCTACGGGAGATCACCAACTACAAACCCAAAGCCCCCCCCTGTGCTGATGACCACAAGCTAGCTGACGATCTGAACTTATTTTTCAGTCGCTTTGATGCTGCCCCTGACACCTCTCCCTCCCCCACCCCCCACTACTCTAACGACCCACCCATCAGCCCTGCCCCTAGCCTAACAATAGCCGCTAAAGAGATTAAACAACTCTTCCTGAGGCTGCACCCCCGCAAAGCTCCTGGCCCGGACCACGTGTCTCCGGCCACTCTGAGACACTGCGCCAGTGAGCTTACTCCTGTGTTCACGGACATTTTCAACTCCTCTCTGCAGTCCTGCCATGTCCCGGCCTGCTTCAAATCCTCCATCATTGTCCCCGTCCCGAAGAAGCCCAGGATCACAGGACTCAATGACTACAGACCTGTAGCACTTACGTCTGTCGTCATGAAGTCATTTGAACGCCTGGTTCTCTCCCATCTCAAGTCCCTCACCTCCCCCCTCCTGGACCCCCTGCAGTTCGCCTACAGAGCCAACAGATCTGTAGACGACGCCATTAACCTGGCCCTCCACCACATCCTACAGCACCTGGACTCCCCGGGGACCTACGCCAGGGTCCTGTTCGTGGACTTCAGCTCTGCCTTCAACACAATCCTGCCATCCCTGCTCCAGGACAAGCTCTCCCAGCTCAACGTGCCCGATTCCACCTGCAGGTGGATCACTGACTTCCTGACGGACAGGAAGCAGCGAGTGCGTCTGGGGAAGAATGTCTCGGACTCTCGGATTATAAATACAGGAGCCCCACAGGGCTGTGTTCTTTCTCCCCTGCTCTTCTCCCTGTACACCAACCACTGCACCTCCAGCCACGACTCCGTGAAGCTGATCAAGTTCGCGGACGACACCACCCTCATTGGACTCATCTCCAACAACGATGAGTCCGCCTACAGGAGGGAGGTGGACCGGCTGGTGTCCTGGTGCAGTGGTAACAACCTGGAGCTGAACGCCCAGAAGACAGTGGAGATGATTGTGGACTTCAGGAAGAGCACTGTCCCCCCGCCCCCACCCTCCGTGATGGACTCCCCCATCACCTCTGTGGAGTCCTTCCGTTTCCTGGGCACCACCATCACCCAGGACCTCAAGTGGGAGCCGACCATCAGCTCTCTCATCAAGAAGGCCCAGCAGAGGATGTACTTCCTGCGGCAGCTCAGGAAAGCCAAGCTGCCTGCACAGATGTTGGTGCAGTTCTACACGGCCATCATCGAGTCCATCCTCACCTCCTCCATCACCGTGTGGTTCGCTGGAGCCACAGTCAGGGACAAACAGAGACTACAGCGCATTGTGCGCTCTGCAGAGGAAGTGATCGGCCGCAGCCTTCCATCGCTGCAGGACCTGTACGTCGCCCGAGCTCGAGGCCGGGCTGGTCGTATCACAGCCGACCCCTCTCACCCTGCACATGGACTATTCCAACCACTCCCCTCAGGCAGGAGGCTGCGGTCCATCAGGACTAGAACCTCCCGCCACAAGAACAGTTTCTTCCCCTCTGCTGTTGGACTCTTGAACACTTCTTAACCTGTCCCCCCGCCCTTTATAAAGTCACTTTACTGCCCATCATACGTCACTTTACTTCACTGTACTGCTGTCACCTTACATTGTGTGCACCATGTGCACTTGTATATTGTAAATAGTAACTGTAACTCTATTTTAAATTTAAATTTATTCTTTAGAAGTGTTTTTTATTCTTATTTTTATTATCTCTTTTTGACTGTTGCACTGAGCCAAAGCAATTTCCAAGTCTGTGACCTCCCGTTACTTACGTTGGCAATAAAAATGATTCTGATTCTGATTCTGATTCTGATTCAACAGGTTCTAGAGATTAAAATTTAATGTTGCTACAAAGCAGTAAAGTGAAGCTTTAAGGTATGTTGAAGGTGGAGATTTAATACACTTTTAAATTTCAGTTCCTTTAGTTCACAGTTGTGGACAAAAGAATGGCCATTTTCTTGTTTGTTTTCGGCACTGAGCACATTTTAGCCGTTTCTTGCAGTGCAGTTCTTCTTTTTCGTCAGACTATTGGAAATCTCTCACCTACACTGTATTTGGAAACACTATCTTTAATTTTTACCCCCAAAATAATGAGGCTAGTTGACATTATATGGGGGACAATAATACATGTTCTTAGTGGTAGGGGAAACCGGAGCACGCAAAAGAGAGCTTCACAGACACTGGGGGAACATGCAAACGACTCATAGACGTCCTGGAAGTGGAATCAAACCCAGGACCGACTTGTTTTGAAGCACAAGCGCTAACCACTGCACCACTGCCATCTATATCTATAATATATTTAACTCTACACCCTGGTCATTAGTTTTTAATAGACAGAGATGTTTGAAAATATAATCCCAGTTGCATTACATCTGTATGTGAATATACCAAAAGAGTGTGTTCAATTCAATTCAATGTATTCTTGTATATCCTTAAATTACGGAGGACTTTACAAAACCGTTGAATTCGCCAACACAGATCAGAGAACAGTTCAAACAATAGAACAGAAAACACATTGATATTGGTCCATAAGTGTTGTTCATTACCTTGCACAGCGAAGGACTCTTTGACAGAGAGGGGTACTCCGAGCAGAGGCAGCCGGTCCTCCAGCACCTCCTCTCCTCCGCTCTCCTCCTCGATGAGTTTGTCGACTTGTGAGGCCTCCTGCAGTGCACTCGAGAACCTGGAGCAAAAGCACATCACTCCGGTTCTTATCCAACTCCACTGGCTCCCCATAACCCACAGAACCCAGTTTAAACCCCTCCTTCTCACATTCAAAGCTCTCCATACCTGGCCCCCTCATACATGAAGGACTTGTTCCACCCATATACACCCCGTCCCGCTCTCCCCACTGTCCTCACTATCAAAATGGCCACAATGGAGGCCAGAGCCAACAAAAATAATAATTATTATTATTAGAGGCCCAATCGACTGTGCAGCTAAACGTCTGCCAAATCCACTTCCTGTTGTACTGCTGACCTGTCCTGCACCATGGCGTTGATCAGAGGGTTCACTTCCTGGATCCTGTCAATGTACGCCTGCACCACCTCCACACTGGACACCTGCAAAACACACAGCACAGGTGCAACACAATCTGCCAAGAAACAACACAAAACCACCTCTGCCCCATTTACACAAGCTCAACAAACCAGTCGACTCACAGATTATGAATGGCTCACTAATAAGTCCTGTCTTCTTTTGTGTGCGTGTGTGTTGTTATATTCTACACTACAGCTTCCTTTAAAAACACGTGAAGACCATTTCTCAAAGAAGGAACTCAATGAAGTATCACATTTCACATTTTAATCAGTTAAGGAGGTCGTTAATGAATGAAGCTGCCTTGTATGTGTAACAATCCCAAAGCCAATCAGGGAGCGATACAAAAAGGCGTTGGAAATTTTGGACAAAAAAAACCCTTCACTTTTTAATCATTGTAATATCCAAATAAATGTTTAACCTTTGTAAAAAAAAAAGTGATAACAATGGTTTAATGTGATGGCGAGGTGTGTGCAATTACTGGATGTGTGCAATGATGGGATGTGTATCTTATTATTATTCTGTCATTATCCTCTCGTGACCCTCACCCCACGGGACTAGGCATGGACATGATCCCTAGGCTTAAATCTGACATGTTAACGTTCCACGTTCTTTTAATGTCTGCCTATTGACGTTACACTGTCCCATTCAAATCCATAAATACAAACATAAATGAATGTATTGTGCAGAGAACTCAGATAAAGTTGAACTCAAGCCTGTTACACAACCATGTTTCAGTGTGATTATCGCGAACATAACAATAAGTCGGTTGTGTGTATATGTGCGTGTGTCCCATGTCCTGCGGCAGCTATACCTCTCTGCGCCTGATCTTCTGCGCCAGCTGCGTCGCGGACTCCAGCAGCAGCGGATCGCGGACCGGGGGCAGCCTCTTGTTGGACTCGGGCCCCCGCGGTGACAGGGCACAGAAGAGCCAGAGCAGGGCGTCTATCACAGCGGCGTAGAGCAGCCCCAAGAGCCGCTCCACCAGGCTCAGCGCCATGATCCTGTGGTGTTTGGTCCGGGTCTAGTCTGGTCTGAGACTGGAGCAGACTGGACTACAGGCTCAGCTCCAAACAAACCCGTCCCACCGGAAGCTTACCTCAACACGCAGACTGAGCTCTTCATAATAGTCACTGGTGCAAGAACAGCAGTGAGTACAGCTTTTGACTCTCTTTCAATCACCTTATTTATACTATTTTAAGACACGTTTTAGTCTTTAAACTTGAATTCTGAATTAAGCTGTTTGGCCGTGCATATTCCAAAGAGGTCAACGCGAAGAATAATAGCATTAAACAACAAACACAGATAAATGATTAACGGTGATAAAATACTATCCTTTATTGCCTCGCCTCAGGCCAATAACAAAATTACGCAACAGACCCCTTTGCACAATCCTGGCGAATATCACAAGTTTAAGTCCACATTTTTCTGTAGAATATGTATCTTGGGTTAAGAAAATGGGTCGATCAGACTGAAATTTCTGTGTGATAAAAATCCTGGAAATTTCAGCCTGATTGACCCATTTTTTCATAAGCAGCTTTCACACATTAACCCAAGATAAATATTTTACAGCAACATTTTGACTTAAACTTGTGATATTCGTTTTCTCAATACAAATTTATATCAACACTATTCCTTTGCTAGTTATTTGTTCAGTTAGTTGCTTTACATTGCTTTAATATTTTTGGCTCATTTTCGTTTTTGGTTGTAGACACCTGGGGGCAGTAATGCGCTGTGAGAAAAAATAACTTAGATTAAATGTAGTTTACAGTGCTTAACACCCCTCATCTTACCTAGTACTCTTCTATTTTTATTCGGTGTTTTTCTTTGCTGCTGTTATCAGGCCTTGCTGTTCTTTAATGAATGTCTTGAACTTTTTTCTTGACTGGCCTCTCACTGTCAGCAACGGGGTTTTACGAGTTTTACTTATCATATAGAAAAAAATATATAGTTTTTTTTCCCTGGGAAGGACCATGAAAAAGAAGGACAATCAGGTAGAACAGGGACAGGTGGCGACACTACGCCAGCCATCCGTAAACTAATTAACCCTACATGTAATTAGCACGAAATGAACCCAGGCTACCAGTGTACTAGGAAATGCTACAAAACTGGAAATTACTAGTATATAAACAACATAACACACCAATTAGGAACAATTGATATATATTAATTTAAGAAAATAAAAGTCATTTTACCTGGAATGATAAAGGAATATGGTCAGTAATGCATTTGAGTTGAATAATAAATAAAATATAACTTGTGCAATCCAACAGTTTTCAGATGTAATAAATTCAATTACTCAAGCTACTATCTGCACTTTAAAAGGATCTTTACTGTACCAAAGTCTATGAAACCAAAACCTTGTCCCTCAAATGCCCATCTCTTAGTCCAGTAGTTCTTTTAAGAAATGTTCTAACTTCCTTTGTCTCTAAGAAGATAAGAATTGGTACAACAATTTACAAGTGAAAATATTACATCCACTATGTGATTATGTTAAAGGACAACTCACCCTCAAATCCACATTTTTTTGCTGATAAACGGTATAAATGAGTGTCCAATAGTGTTGTCTACATATCCTGGTCATAATTTTGTCACTTTGGTGCAAATTAGTTGAAAGTTAAACTTTCCCCCTAAAACCGTCTGTGAGGCGCCATCTGCTGGCGACCTGTATTACTACATTTGAATTTTGAATCTGGCGCCAACACTGGCACAGAAGTTGGACCTGACGTCTGCAAGTTGGACCTGACGTCAGCAGCCCCCCGCCCACGTTCACGCCCCCTTCAGTCCTCCAGGCTACGCCCATTTAGAGGAAGATTTGAACAGGAAATGTGAGTGACGTAAGCTCCGAGGAGCGGGGGTGAGAACCACTTTAAATTTACAGTTCCACAGAAAGCTAAAGATAAACAGTGTTTATCCATGTCGACATTTTTTAAATTCCAAATTTAATATTGGGGAAAATAATTGTCTTTTGTACCAATATTATTGAAAATTAGGAATACTTATTTTTTTCTCACACAAATGGTGAATATTGTCTTTAACATACACTGATATAAAATATGGAGCTATAATGGAACAAAAGAAAAATCAATTCATAATCAATAATTTTATTATATTTGCAAAGAAATTCATACACAAATGTAAATTTGGCAGTACCAAACCTTTATTATTGGTATTTCTGAAAGAATTATGTAGTTTGAAGGACTCTTTAAAACTTTGCAAGTCTAAGAAAGCTATATAAGGCTTTATAACGAAACGATCAAAATGTCTTTCGACCCCACTGTACGTTGATGATGTTGGCTCTTTGTATTTATTGTTTTGTTCTATATCCTAGACTTTTACAATTTGTATGCTCTAATTGTTACATATATTGGAGATACATACTGTATTTACAGTCTATGGGAGATACGTAAGCCTGTAAGCATTGTTTGATGATAATAATAATAATGGGGGGAAAAAGGCTAACTTCTGGGTTTGAGACCGGATGTTGCGTCGTTTGTTTCCACTAGCTTTGTTTTGATCATTTGCTACTGAGGATGGGATGGACTCGAAAAAGCGCAGGATTTGCAATCGAAAAGCTGGCTTTACATTTCCAAAAGCCCAAGTTTGTTACCATTACCGCTGTTAGCTGACGCTAAATCTGGCTCAGACACAGAGCAGACTGCTGGACAGGCGCTCCTGCGGGTGAGCAGGTCGTCAAACTGGGTAAGTGACATGTGGAAGTACCGCTGAAAGCGAAACTCATCCGTATGCAGCTCCTGCAGTATACGGATGCACACTGCAGCCTCTCAAGTATGTGGTGAACCCAGACACGTTGTGGTGAAGCTCTATGACGACGTTTTATGGCTTTCTATGACAACTAAAGGTAGCTGGTGTCTGGAAATCCACCATTGTCTCTGGACTATACCGGCAACAGAGCAGCTCCCGTCAGCGTCAAACAACGTGCGTCACAGGCGTTTTGAAGCTTTTGGTGTGAACACAACTTTAGAGTAACAGGTTTGTGAGCGCCAGAAATCTCGCTTGTTTGTAGTATTTTTACTCGCGTAGTGACGCAAAAGATGGGCTTTGTAGAATCCCCCCTTATGGGGCGTTCAGACCGCATCATGCTTTGCGGCGACTTTCAATGCAAAGTCAAAGGTGACGCGTGTTCGAGCGTGAAACTGCATGTGCGGGACGCACACACGGACTGCGCGGTAGAAGCACAGCAGAAGCACAGGAGCAGAAAATCGACGCATGCAGGAGATAAACATTGCTGAACTTTTTCCTTGGGAGGCTCGTGCAGCGACCAATCAGAGAGCCGCAAAGTGGTCACGGGGACAGTAGCGGTCTAGCAAGCAGACTGAATACACCAGTCTGCTGCGGCTCTAACCTCACTGTTGGCCGCTGCCCTCTCGGATGTTCCTTCTCACACACGCTAAAACGCTTAAAATATATTATATTTTTTTCAGACTCTTCTCCAAACACAATTTAATAAGTAGTTCTTTTGAATCAAATCAAATGCAAAATAAATACTTAAGGGCTATATATTTGTTCCACTATTCTTTTTCTTTTTTTCGGAAATCACCTCGCGGCCCCCACTTTGGGAACCACTGCTCTACATCTCAGAACTTTTAATAATAGACATTAATACTATTACTAGCAACCAAAACTGGGTGCAGCCTTTGTGTGCCTCTACTCATTGATATTCTGTGCAAGTGTAGGGTATGCTTTAATACCATCCTTTGTTGTTTGGAGAGCAACAGAAACGGCAGAAAACTACTTTTTTGCTGTTGTAATAAAACTGTTGTCTGTTTAATAACTGGGAAAAATCATGGACAACACACATGGTGTGCCGTATTTCTGTAATTTGATATCCAATCACAATTTTAAAAGTCCCTTTTAAGTGCAGGAATCCCTAAGTTATGCAAGTAGTATTTTCTAATCTAAATGAGTAAATATCACATCAAATCTTTGCATGAATTAAAGGTTATATAGAAAAATAGTACACCTCTAAATGGTGCCTTGTCAACAGTAGAATCTAGTTAGCCCCAGGATCTCGCCAGCCTCCAAAAGCCTTCTCCAGGTACTGTGCCGTGGCGATGGTCAGGTGGTCCTGCAGCTTGCCCGCCACCACCTGCACTCCCAGGGGAAGGCCGTCCTGGTTCAGACCCAGGGGACACTGAGTGACCGGCAGACCCAACACGTTTAAGATGGCTGCGGAGCATGAGATAACACAAAGACGTTAAAGATTCCATTTCACATCATGTTCCACAGAGGTGTGGACTCGAGTCATGTGACTTGGACTCGAGTCAGACTCGAGTCATGATTTTGATGACTTTAGACTCGACTTGACCAAATATAAAAAGACTTGCAACTCGACTTGGACTTTAACATCAATGACTCTGACTTTCACTTGGACTTGCACCAATTGACTTGCAAAGACTTGCGTAACCCGGGCCATTTTTACCTTTCTCCGCATCTCTCTTTCTATCTATGCCGTCTCTGAAGAAACAAAGCCTCGCGGTAGTTGTAGCGCTCGCGAGAGAGTTCGAACGTGAGTTCCCCGCAGTTCGCGCAGTAACACTTCCCTAAACAAGCGGACTGCATTCACCGGTGGGTGTGTTGTCTAGGGGAGCTGGAAATGAGCGAGCTGCAGGTATTTATCGCGACCTAACGTCATACTTTGTTCTACAAACCGTAATTGATATGCTTTCACTACAGGCGCCTCATACAATTGAATCGACGCAGTTGTCACACTGTGTGCCGTGTTTTAAAGAGGAACTGGTGAGTCAAACTAGCGCTAGCCTGCGCTGCTCTGTTAGCTATTTCTTATATTTTTCTGTGTGGGCGCCGAGGCCTATTATTATGAGTATGTTTTTGCTGTGCTCCTCCTGCTAAAGTTTGCATACATTAGATAGTTGTTTTGATTATGTGCACTAAGCTAGATTAATATTTGCACTATTGTTTATGGTGCATTGATATGAGAATCAGTGCTTTGACTGATTGAATTAATTTATATGAGACATTTTAATATGTAATGATATATTGGTAATTATGAGATATTACTAATGCTGGTCCAGTTCATACAGGCCAGGTTCCTTCCACTCCATTGGTCCCTTCAGTCCTTTGCCCCCCCCCCCTTTTTTTTTTTTTTTTTGATGGCGAGCTGCCCCAGGTCCAAAGCCTGGACCCCTCATACTACCCCTATCCTACAGTAGGACATTTGGAACAATAACCACTACGGACATTAAACTGATTATATAGATACAGGTCCAAGCCCAATACTCATATTCATATATGCTGCACTTGCTACTTCCCATTAAAAACCCCAAAGATAAAAAGTATGTTGACACGGACTGCTCTGTGTTTATGTGTGGTCTGTGCATGTGTAACTGAGCCTGCATCTGGCACAACATCCAATTAGATCACGTAGATAGTTTTGATTTACCAGCAGCCAACGACGAGGAACAAACTGTTAGTCCATGGGTCAGAGACCAACGAGAATGCACCAGCAAAATGATTCCTAACATTATTTTGTTTGCCTACAAAAGTACGTGGAGACCAACAAGAAACAAATCGCAGTCAAAAAGACTCGAGAGGACTCGAAAGTCAAACCGTAGGACTTGGGACTGACTTGAGATTTGTTGGCCTTTGACTTGGACTCGACTCGGGACTTGCCTGTCTTGACTCGTGACTTGACTCGGGACTTGAGGGCAATGAATTGAGACTGACTTGTGACTTGCTAAACAATGACTTTGTCCCACCTCTGATGTTCCACAAAGAAAATGTAACTGTGTAGATGATGTATATTTTGAAGAGAGCATGGTGGTGTTTGGGGGCCACTCTGGGGAAAGTGGGGTACAGTAAAAGACTCCATCTGTGCCTAAGAGCTCCTCAAAGTCCTGCTGCAGTTTCTCTTTTATCTTCAAGGCAGAGAGAGAGTGGTCCGGGAGACCCATGCAGACAAACCACATGTCGTACGAATGCTTCAGCTCTGGAAAGTGCACCTCTTCTACCTTCACCCCGAGGTCAGTCTCGAGTCACCTCCAGAAACACGTGTTTATGAACAAAGAATAAAAGCTGAGGCTGTTTTCATCGTGTTCCACAGACCTTCCTCTGAGCCTGTTTCAGATCCTCAGAGACTGAGTTTGTGAAGAGCGCATCTCCACAGCTGGGAAGGGTGAAGATCCGCAACTTCTTCAAATCTACTTTTTTATTTAAAGACAACCTGGAAAGAAATCACAAGTATTATTATTATATAGATATTATAGTTTTATCACAAATACTTTTGCTTAATTTCTCCAATTGCCAGACCATTTTAAGTGTCCCCCAAAATGATTAGCAGCTGTTGATGCTATGAGGATATAGAATTATTCTAAACATTAAATCCAAAACAGAAGAAGCAATAGTTTAAACTATAACAATTACATTCCCTACAAGGCAAACAATCCTTCTTCGTCTTTGAACTGAACTTTTATTCAAAAAGAATCTACGAGAAAAAGAAAGTCCTGAAAGAAGTAATCCTTTGGCAAAATACGTTTTCCACTTAGACGACAAAGTTTCTCACTTAAGTTCCATGTATTCCTCCCTCTACAACTAAAGATAGCCCTGATGTAAATACTGATTTCCTTCTGTGTGACACTGTAAAACTGTGGGCCCTCACTTGTCAACATTAGCCCCAGCCATGATCTTGAGCAAAGGCAGCAGGTCCTCAGCATTAGAGCCCTGCACTTGAGCCCTTGGCCCGAGGGCCCCGACGGCCCGACAGCCCGAGGGCCGGGCTTCGGGCCGATGACCGCATAATGACCTCGGACACGGGCCGGGCTCGGGCTCTTCATTTTCAGAGCGGCAGAATACATTTACGAACGCACCCACTGAATATAGCGTTCTATCACGCTGTAGTGTTTGTTGTTCTGTGTAGTGTTGTCATTGACGGCACATAGCGTTACTTACAGGTGTGTTGCAGCATCTGGACATCATACAGATGCGGCCGTTCACTCTGCACCACTCCGCACACACAGAACTCATTGCAACACATCACTACCATGTATAACTCCGCCCTCTAGCTAAGTCTGCGTTCATATCAGTGCGCGGCACTATATACTACGCTAAAACATTGTTATGGGAGGTTACAAAAAAAAAAAAAAGGCGGGCTTGATGCGGGTTTCGGGCCTGAAAATTGAGAAACCATATCGGGCCGGGCCGGGCTGGGGCGCCACCCCCTCGGGCCAGGGCCGGGCTCGGGCCCAGATAATAGGCCCGTGCAGGGCTCTACTCAGCATATCGACACATTGGCCCCGTGCTCAGGAGCTCCTCCTGGTGGCCGGACATAGGAGGCAGCTGGTTTTCATTTGGTACAATCCCTGGAAGAAAATGTGTCAACACCTTTCACATGGTCTCAGACACTTTGACCCAATGAATCATAGTCCCACCTCGTGTGGGTTTGTGGCCAAAAACACCACAAAAAAACGAAGGAAGGCGAAGACACTGCCACCAATGTCTGAGCCAACTCCAACGACCGAACAGGCTCCGCCCAGAATACTGGGAGTGGGTTAAAAACATCAGAAACAACACCAACCAAGATAACAATGAACAATCACTCTGATAACACTATGGCAAGGCTAGTTAGATTCTTTGTGACTTAGATTGTACAGCCTGCTTTTAGCTTTGTTATGCACAAGTACACGTTGGTTTGAGACAACCTTTGGCATGAAAAAATGTATTTAACAGTTCTTTCTCTCTGTTGCCTCGGTAACTGCAACTGTATACCACACAAAAATACTGCATTATATCTATGAAAGTCAGCAAGTAAAGACTGCAGACCGTCAGCTTTGTCTGCGGCTGCAGATGCTACGCAGGCTTATGCTATCACATTTCTTCCGTTCCCTTTTAGGCATTTTCCTAAAAATTGACACCTGTTAGATAAACACCATCCATCTGTTGTATCTTCTCATCAGCAGAAGATGGGGTTTCCCGCACAAACCAGTATAGTTGTATTTTCTTCCGCTTCATCCGTTGCTGGGTCGCGGAGGCAGCAGTCTAAGCAGAGACGCCCAGACTTCCCTATCCACACACACTTCCTCCAGCTCGTCCGGGGGGACCCCAAGGCGTTCCCAGGCCAGCTGAGAGACATAGTCCCTCCAGCGTGTCCTGGGTCTTCCCCGGGGCCTCCTCCCGGTGGGACGTGCCCAGAACACCTCCCCAGGGAGGCGTCCAGGAGGCATCCAGAACAGATGCCAGAGCCACCTCAACTGGTTCCTCTCGACGTGGAGTACTCCGAGCTCCTCACCCTATCTCTAAGGGAGCGCCCAGCCACAAGCTCATTTCGACCGCTTGTGTCCACAATCTTGTTCTTTCAGTCATTACCCAAAGCTCATGACCATAGGTGAGGGAGGGAACGAAGATTGACCGGTAAGTCGAGAGCTTTGCCTTTCGGCTCAGCTCCCTCTTCACCACAATGGTTCGATACAGCGACCGCATCACTGCGCACGCTGCACCGATCCGCCTGTCAATCTCACGCTCCATCCTTCCCTCACTCGTGAACAAGACCCAGAGATACTTGAACTCCTCCACTTGAGGAAGGACCTCTCCCCCACCTGGAGAGGGCAAGGAACCTTTTTCCGGTCGAGCACCATGGCTTCAGATTTGGAGGTGCTGATTCTCATCCCAGCTGCTTCACACTCGGCTGCAAACTGTCCCAGTGCATGTTGTAGGTCCTGGTTCGTTGGAGCCAACAGGACAACATCGTCTGTAAACAGCAGGGAATTCTGTCCATGAATACAGTGAACAGAACCGGTGACAAAGGGCAGCCCTGGCAGAGGCCAACATGCACCGGGAACAGGTCTGACTTACTGCCGGTGTAACGCCGAGATACACTGTCTTGAAGAGATGCACTGCCTCAGCTGTTTATGATGTAATGCAAACCTGCGCATGCGCGTCTCACGGCAGCCGAAGCATACCAAGATGGCGGACCGTGAATTGCTTTAAAAGTTGAAATACGAACGAATTAAGACACGAATGTCACTTTTAATGCAATTTGAGGCGAGATGTTGATGGTCCCGTTTTGTCACATGTGAGTTTTAAGAGTAAAAGAGTAAAAAATAATACATTTCATTCAATACATGTATCGTACTGTATTTAATATGATTAACAATAGTGTGTTCAAACAAAATATTTAATTAGATTGATTTTTTTCCCCATTTTCCATTATCAACCCGACAGACCAGTGTAAGAGTGTAGAGTTGCCACAGGACGCGTCATCAGCCTACGTCAGCAGCCGCGGACTGCTATGAAAACATTAGCTTTGTGGTTTCACAGGCGCAGTTGACTGCTTAAACTAAACTTTGCACAAAACTTTTACTCTTAAAACCCACATGTGACAAAACGGGACCATCAACATCTCGCCTCAAATTGCATTAAAAGTGACATTCGTGTCTTAATTCGTTCGTATTTCAACTTTTAAAGCAATTCACGGTCCGCCATCTTGGTATGCTTCGGCTGCCGTGAGACGCGCATGCGCAGGTTTGCATTACATCATAAACAGCTGAGGCAGTGCATCTCTTCAAGACAGTGTATCTCGGCGTTACACCGGCAATGCGCACGCAGCTCTGGCTCCGCTCATACAGGAACCGGACGGCCCTCAGCAGAGGACCCCAGACCCCATACTCACGGAGGACCCCCCAAAGGATACCCCAGGGGACACGATCGAACGCCTTCTCCAAATCCACAAAGCACATGTGGACAGGTTGGGCGAACTCCCATGAACCCTCGAGTATCCGATGGAGAGTGTAGAGCTGGTCCAGTGTTCCGCGGCCGGGACAAAAACCACACTGCTCCTCCTGAATCTGAGATTCGACCATCGGCCGTAGCCTCCTCTCCAGTACCTTGAAGTAAACCTTACCAGGGAGGCTGAGGAGTGTGATCCCACGATAATTGGAACACACCCTCTGGTCCCCCTTCTTGTAGAGAGGGACCACCACCCCGGTCTGCCACTCCATTGGCACCGCCCCCGATCGCCACGTGATGTTGCAGAGACGCGTCAGCCAAGACAGTCCTACAACATCCAGAGACTTTCCACTCATCCACTCCCGGCGCCTTGCCACCAAGGTGGCTGCCAACCACCTTGGTGACCTCGGCCAGGGAGACAGAAGTATCCGCCCCAACATCCTCAGCCTCCGCCTCCGGGGCGGAGGACGTGACGGGGGATTGAGGAGAACCTCGAAGTATTCCTTCCACCGTCCGACAATATCCGCAGTCGAGGTCAGCAGCTCACCCCCCGCACCGTACACGGTGTTGCTGCTTCCCCCTCCTGAGGCGCCGGACAGTTTGCCAAAATCTCTTCGAGGCCGACCGATAGTCATGCTCCATGGACTCTCCGAACTCCTCCCAGTCCCGGGTTTTAACCTCTGCAACAGCCCGGGGCGCGGCACGCTTGGCCTGCCGATACTGGGCATCCCCCAGGAGATTGAACGGAGTCGCCCGGCGGTGCAGAAAACCGTCCAGTTTACCCCCCCAAGGACTACCAAGAAGGAGGCCGAGTCCCTAACAGCACTGCTGATTAGGCCCGTAGGCCGTCACAAACAGTGGGAGAGAACATTGTCCCCGCCACACACGGAGCGGACGTGGAACGCGAGCCCTCCTCAATTCACCGTGGAGGAACTCCAACACGTTGCGAGCATAGATGCTAGTGTGGGGGCAATGAGTATGGTCCAACCCCCAGCTCGCGCGACATCTGCCCCCGCGAGGAAACTATCCAGAAAAGTGGCGGGGGGGGGGGGAGCGTGCCAACCCGCTCTCAAGGAGTTGGGATTCCAGAGCCCCAAGCTGTGTGTGGAGTGTGAGCCGACTAGTCTCTATCCGGTTATCCGTGCTCGATCCACCCCACAAGCTACGGGCATCCATCCCCCGCGCCCCATTGTGAGGAGACGTTGCCACGTCCCAAGTAGCCAGATGTTGTGTGTTGCGGACTGGGTCGCCGAGGTCTCCGCCTTCGACTGCTGCCCCAGGGTCCCTCTCTGCACCGAAGCCGCCACGGACCCCTCTGCGTGTGGTGGGACCCACAGGAGGGACTGCCCACGTCGTCCTTGTCGGCTGAGCCCGGCCCCGGGGCCCCGTGGGCTTAAGGCCCTCCAACCAGGCGCTCGCATCGAGCACCCGCCCCAGGCCTGGCCTCCAGGGTGGGGCCCCGTGCTGCGCCATAACCCGTGGCGACGTCACACGGTTTCTTCTATTTCGTTCTGATGTCCATGTTGGCTTCTGAACTGCTCTTCGTCATGACTCGATCACTGAGACCTGTCTGCCATTGGTGAGAACCTACCATGGCATTGACAGCCCCAGACAGCATAGCACCCAGGAGATCAACCGAGAAACTTCAAACCCCCCAGCCCCCACGTTAAGGTGGCCGTCCAGGTGGAGACCATCACCTACAACATCTCCAGAACAAATCAGGTTAACTATCTGAATTCGTTAGTTTAATATTCAGTTCAAACGAATTGTAGAATACTGCAATGTTAAAAATACAAAATATGAATGTTTAAAACAGAGTTAAAACCTGTATCAATGTTTAGAAAATGTAGCAGTTAGCATTATGGTTCCTAAATTCATTACTTAATGTTAAAATGTAATTGTATAAAAGTGTTGCAAAAACCAGATCTACTGATCAGTGATGTCTCCCCTTTTTTGTGGAATAAACAATCAATCAATCACAGTTTAATTGTAGAGCGTCCATTACATACACAGTGGCAACACAAAAGCGCTTCACAGTCCACATCACAAATCATCACATAAAACAAACACCAGAATCACAATTAAAACATTAAATCACACAAAAGATTAAAACACAATTAAAACATTAAAATCACACAAAAGAATATAACCATTAAAACTTTCAAAATTACACAAGAAATTTAAAAAAAAAAAAATAAATGACAGCATGTGCATTAAAAATGGAGATAAAATCCTTCTGTTATATGCACAGGCAAACAGAACAGTCTTTAACCTGGATTTGAACATTGACAGAGTAGACGCCTCCCTCACATTTTCAGGGAGATTGTTCCAGATCTTAGCTGCATGGATCTGAAAACGCAGCCTCCCCATGTTTGGTTCTCACTCTGGGCACCAGCAGGTAGGCCAGTCCCTGTGCTCCTCAGAGTCCGGGCCGGTTCATATGACACCAACATAGTCACTAATGTATTCTGGTGCAAGGCCTTGGAGAGACTTGTACACAAGCAGAGCCGTTTTAAAATCTATTCTTTGAGCCACAGAAGCCAGTGCAGAGACCTGAGGACCGGACTAATATGGTCATACTTCCTGGTTCCTGTCAGGACTCTAGCTGCTGCATTTTGGATGTACTGCAGCTGCTTACAGGTCTGTTTGGACAGACCTGTAAGCAGGCCATTAGCAGTAGTCTAGCCTGCTGGAGACAAATGCATGGACAAGAATCTCCAAGTCTGCCCTGGACACTATATTTCTAACTTTGGCAATGTTCTTCAGATGGTAAAAAGCTGTTGATGTTATTGATTTTATGTGGCTATTGAAATTTAGGTCTG